GAAGACATTGAGTGACTTTTGGGCTTCCCCTCAAGAGGGAGACTTGATCGGAGGCTGCCAGATCGGCATCGAAGAGCTGCAAGTTGTTAGTTTGGTCTTTAGACATCGGCGGGGGATCCGGCGTTGTAATAGGGGTATAGGAAGGCCCTCTTAGTCATGCTAGGACACTTCGTGTAGTGGTAGCTAGGGGTCAGGAGGACTTATAAGAGAGGGGGGTGAGTCGTTATCCATCTTTGGAGGTCGGGCGTGTGACCTTGGTATGCCCGTGGGAGGTTGTTTGGTGCTTCATGGCCTGTTGGGGTGTGCTGGGCTCTCTTCCTCTTCTCTGTGGTCTTGGTTGTGTGTGTGAGCATGTGGATTGCTTTCTCACCTGATGGATGGCTGGATGGATGGATGATGTATCTGTTCTAAATGACATATCTTTCTATGTAACGTCTTTTCATTTCTGAACGGCTGTAGGGGTGAGTTCTTGCTGAAAGTTGTCTTTTCCTTTTCATTACGGTAGAGGCAGTTTGGGACTGACTTGGTACACTTATCTCGTTGGTCCTGGTCCACGACCTACTTGGGACCTTTGGGACTCAGTGGGACCAGGCCCAACGGGACAGGACCTTTAGGGCCCAAATCTGCTGCCGTCAATGCATCTCTTTGCTGTGCTGAACTTGGGGGACATACGGCTAGCAAGGGCATTCCTTTCAAGGGGATCTTGATTGGTTTTACTGCATGTTAGCACATACTGCCCCGCGTCTGGCTCGGCGACCGTCTGCACCCCTCGAAATCTCCATTGCTGCAGTTAGTTTTCTTCGGCTGATTTGTTGTGGTACATGTACCTTGTCAGGTTAGACAAAAGGGGATCTCCAACTAATCTGATCGGGCCCGTTCAATAAGTCGGTCCTCTCTTCCATTTATTTTTTATTTTATTATTCTTTTCTTTATTCTGTTGCGTGCCATTCTCTAAGTCCAAATGAATTGCCGCTCCAGTTAGGAGTTCTACCTTCTACTCTTTGTGATTTACTGTTTGTTTCTTTTATCTGAACTATCTATGTCCGGTATTGAGACGCGTGCGCAGAAA